ACACCGCCATACCCTCATGCCAGCATCATGAGCACACCACAATCACGGCTGTTGATGAGTGTGAGGGCCGTCGCATGATAGATTTGACGATTCCGCCAAACCCAACGACAGTTTGAAAGCTCCAGCTGGGTTTGTGTTGTGCATGCACATGTGTGAGGAGTTGGATACGAATAGGATAAAACCGCGACAGCGTGTGACAATGCACCACACAGGCACTGTTACAACAACAACAACAACAACAACAACAACAACAACAACAACAACGCCATGGACGTCCTCTTCCAGCATTCCTACCCCACAGCTACGTCATAATTGCAAGCACAATCACAAATACATACGCACGCACACACACACGCGCGCGCGCGAGCATCGCACTGTAGTGCAGGCCATGTAGCGGCGATCGCCGACACCACACACCCACTTCTCCCAACCCAGAAACTACGGTGCCATGACACCGCTCACCGTCAAATGTCTGCAATGCGACGCGTCCATCCGCGGTGCACGACCGCGCGGCTGCCAAGCCCGCATGCCCAAACAATTTAAGACTTAAGCCCCCGCCCGCGCATACACGGACCTGCGCGCGCGCGTAAGTGCATGTGTAACATTCAGTACACGTGAAATGCAGTAGTGAAGAATGCACTGTACGCCAGGCACGTGCATGCACACGTACGACCACAGTTGGAGCCACCACAGTTCAACATCTGATCGATCTACACGAAACGACTCTCAACGCAAACGCACACTCACCTTGTGGCTCACAAAACTCCAAAGCTTGTGTTCCAAATGAAGGTCAGGCACTCTCCACAGTGTGCGCACGCTCAAGCAAAGCTGCAATTGGCCCTGTCGTCCCCGACCGCCAATTAATCCTCCATCCGACTTTCGGTAGAGTGCAGTGCTCGCACAGCAGCAAAAATAAGACGCACTGTCTGTGTCTGACGACGGTCAAGCAGGCAGCCGATGGAGACAAGGGCACATAGCCCCGCTCCGCCCCCGCTCAGCGCACACTTGCACCGCCTGTGTGTCTAATCTGCTTCGTCTGCCAAGCAGTTCCAGCTCCTGAGACCTGCTACGTTGGTGTTGCCGCATGCCAACCCAGAACCCACATCAAACGCCACGCGTTAGCACATGCACACAACGACAAGGCTAAGGGACAAGGCTGAGTCCCAGCACACAAATAGTGACAGGGACAGAGAAGTGGTTGAGGAGGAGGACGGTGAAAGAGAGTGAACAAGTGAACAAGGGAAGAGGGGTGACTGGGCCACGGTCTGTGGAGGGTATGTCAAAGCACACCAGCAAAACAAACGCATGTGCAGCACCCCGAAAGGAAAAACAAGGCACACACATACACACATGTACGTACACATGTACACACAATCACAAATATACACACATATATGCATCAATACAACGCATGCAAACATGTAACAGGCGGCAAAGCCTCCGACAAACCCACTTACACGAACATGAAGAAGGTACGAACAGAACGTGCACGTGCACATTGTCCGTGGAAGACGCGCGATAATTGCACCGTCATGCTTCTCATGCTGCATGGGGCA